AATTTTCAGCTGTTTGCCCATCTTTCGCATCGACCGCAGCTTGTTTTGGCGAATCCGAAAGCGAATTTTGTTGATGTTCGTAGGTGTTACGGCAGTTGGTGGTCGACCACTTCGAGGACGATACTTGTTGTTCTTTATCTCCATGTGGCGTTTAATTGCATTGTTGACGGTGCTTTTTGGATATTTCGTGATTTTTACAATCTCTGGGCTTTTTTTTCCGCCTTGATTTAATCCGAGAATCACATCGCGTCGTTTTTTGGCGTTCATTTTTACGAATTTTGCTCCTAAAAAGGAAATTCTTGTAACAAATCACCTTAACTATACTCGAAAAAAAGGAAAAAAAGTATACCAGACACAAAAAAAAAGCGTGAGCTAAATTTTCTGCAATCTTTTCATAGCGGCTCCGAACTTTTGCCGCACCCTGTACTTTTTGAGGGACTTTTTGAGAGAGTACAATTGAGCATTAAAGGCTCGGCGCTCGGCCATAAATTTGAGGCCATTTTTTAATCGATTTCCACAAACCTTTTCGTGGTTTTTGATTACATACCAGCTAATTTTTTATTCCAATAAAAAGCGCTATGTTGCTAGTCGTAACTCGGTGGTCAATCCGTGCACTTCCCTAGTTAGGGGAGTACTCAGAAGAGCAGAGGGAGGGGGAACACTCGGAACGTATCTTTATAGCTAATATTGCAACGTTTTGCATGTTTTTTGCATTAGTTTTTCCTGCTTTTGTTTTTGCAACATGATTTTCCCTGCTTACGCTAGAAAATTGAAAATTGGCTGAATCGTTTCAAATTAAATCAAAAACTCTTTGCATTGAATATCTGTGATTTTCAAAAAATAATATATAGAGCTTTTCGTTATATAGAGCTTTCCGTTATATAGAGCTTTCCGTTATATAGAGCTTTGCGTTATAGAGAGCTTTCCGGTATATAGAGCTTTCCGTTATATAGAGCTTTCCGTTCTATAAAGCTTTGCGTTATATAGAGCTTTCCGTTATATAGAGCTTTCCGGGATATAGAGCTTTTCGTTATTTAGAGCGTTATATAGAGCTCTGTAGTAAGTGCTTCAATGGCCGGCTCAAAGCCCTGACCTGAATCCAATAGAGCATCTTTGGGAGACAAATTCAATCGATTCAATGCCAAATCGTTGCGCAGCTGTTATTAAAGCAAAGGAATACGCCACAGAATACTGAATATTGCTGGTTAATTGTTAAATAAATTGTTACTTTTGAAATTGTTTCAAACTTTTGGACCCCTAAAAATGGGTGTTCCAAGAAAAAGAGCAAGACAAAAAAAAGAACAAATATCAAATAAAATCAAGTCGATATTCAAAAAGCTCACAAAAAATGCGACAAAAATAGTTTTAACGTAACAAAATTGGATGTATTTAACACTAGTTACATCGAGTTGAAGTTGCCGGATGGTGATTGTTTCAAACTTTTGGACCCTACTGTATAACGGAAAGTTCTATATAACGGAAAGCTCTACATGACGGAGAAGTCTATATAACGGAAAACTTTAAGAAAATGCACAACCATATTCGGACAAGAAAGAGGATCGAGTGACGTATTCCCCGGCAAAGAAGGTAACTTTTTATTTAATAGATAAATTTATAGCAGTCGATAATTAAACGTATTTTTATCAATCAACGATCTATTTTCTTATTTTTAGAAATTGAAGGCAGAGAATGGGAATACAAAGGAAGAAAAAGCAAGAGACTTCTGTAGGTTTCGTTGTTTTTTTAAGTTTATTCAATTCTAAATTCATAGAATGCTAGTAAATTATAAACTTTTTTTGAATGATTTAATATTTTGTTTGTACAATGGTTATTTACTCTGTAGTTTTACAGGCTTTACAACGGGTTTGCTACGCGCAGCCAATCAGCAATTCGACATGGACAAAACCTATGTGTACCCAGACGCCTCACGTGACAAAACAAGTGGAATGACAGGAATAGGCATCTTTTTTGGAAAGGATCATCGACAAAACCTGTAAGTGTTTTTATTTTCTAACTATAGTAGCGAACATTAAAACTAGAAAAAGGCCTTGGATGGTTGCTGAAAATAATAGTTTTTTTCAGAAAATAAAATATTGACTGGTGTTTAAATGACCTAGCAAAAAAATTTAATTTAAAAATTCTTTACAATTTAGAAGTCTTGCAATCGGTGAAACGACTCACCCATTTGTCGGCGAGTTATTTGCTATCCATCTAGCTCTCCATATATATTACGTTTCGGGAGGATACAAGTAAGGATTTTCACTGGTATAATAGTAATAAGTCCAGACAATTTTCTCAGTGAAAAAATTTTTTTGATCATTTAGAGGGAATCAAGTAATACTTCGTACGGATTGTTTGAACGTCATCAAGGCGTTGTACGATTTCAAAGCTAATAATGAGCGAGGCTTCGAAGGAAAACTGGTGAAATATGTTTTGACCGAGCAGGATAAAAAAAAGTTGGTTTTTACATTTGTATTTGTTTATATTTTGCGTTTAGCCTCAAGAATTTATACCATCTTTTGAAATTTTTTCCAAAACGAGTCATCATGCAATGGGTTGAAAGCCATGTTGGAGATCCTGCCAACGATGAAGTAATGATTTTGAATATGTTCTTTAAGAAATGACTTTATCATTCTTTTATTATTTTTAGGCCGATAAACTTGCGTTCAACGCTCGATGTCCTAAGATCACTTGGAAACCTTCAGCGAAGATCGCGCAAGGCACTGCTTGGGATTCATCCTGCCATGAAGCTGAATTTGGTAAGTGCATTTTCGATTTATTTGGAAGAAAGCAATTCTATATCTGTTAAAGAAAATGTTTATTTTTAGGTATGAAAGATGTAGTTGGCAATTCGTCATTCAAGAAGCAAGAAGGAAAGATGCAAAAAATCGTCTACCCTGAGCAGGAAGGAGGGATCGTGAACATTCTGACAAGAAAAGAAGTTCAGCTCGCGATGGACATTGGAGCCAAGACTAATCGCCAATGAAATAACTATTTTATACGCTTCGAAATTTCGATATTTTGGTTTTTGATAATCATTCTTATAAGAAAGAAATCAGAATATTAATAAGAAAAGCTATCTAATGATTATTTCCTCTAGCAACTTTTAATTGCAATTATCTACTTATTTGTGTCAAATTGTATTGTATTGTATCAAAAGATGATAATAAAGAAATAGAAAATAATAAAGGAATAAAAAGATAATAAAGGAATAGAAAGATAATATTAACACGAATCTAGGGAAAAGTAAACCGATTCGCTTTGGGGACAATGGGGTTTAAGAATTACACATTTCGTGTAATTTTCTCGCGCGAGTGTGCTTTTATAGACATTGCTTGTGACCAAAATTACGGTACTTTGAGACGCAATTAAAAAGTATTCAGTCTGAGCCAACGTTCTTTCATCAAAACAAAGTCATTCTACAATAAAAAAATTAGGTAAACTTTAGCAAAATACATTAACCAGCTTGTGAGTTGCATTTCAAGACTGCTAAATTTCAAAAAAATCAACGAAAAACACTTGTTCACATGTCAAAATACTTCAAAATGCGTAATTCTCTGCTTAAAATTGAACTTTCAGCGTTTCACATATAGTTTTCCAAGCAAAATTTGATCCTGATAAAGTTCTAAAGCTTTAGTCTAAAGCTCTAACGTCTAAAGCGTCTAAAACTGTTTTAGACTTCAAGACGAGCACGATATTGAAAGATTTTTAATTGAAAAGATAAGAAAAAGGCGTAAAATGAGGGAAATGAGCTTTGCAAATGTTTTTAAAAGCTTAAAAGCTTGATGTTCAAGCGTGTTCTAGCCAAAACGTCTTTTTCAAACGATAGAGATTCGTGAAAAGCTGGAGTAGGCTGGTTTCCGCAACTGGGTCGTTTGCGCAACTCGCCATAACTTTCTTCTAAGTGGATCAATCTTTATGATTTTGGTTTCATTTTGTAGATCTCAATAAGCGCAACAAAATGAAACCAAAATCATAAAGATTGGCCGACTTAGAAAAAAAGTTATGGCTCATCTAGGTCATGACCATTTTCCTTCCGACCCTTTTGATCAATAACTTTCTTCTCAGTGGGCCAATCTTTCTGCTCTTTGTGCCATTTTGTAGATCGCAATAAGTGCAACAAAATGAAACCAAAATCATAAAGATTGGTTGACTTAGAAAAAAGTTATGGCGAGTTGCGCAAATTTATAGCAATTTAAAGATATTCAGCTGAAAGAATGTTAATACAATCTGTCAAAAAATTATAGACGCACCCTGTTCTTTGCTAGTTTAGAGCCGGATATAAGTGCTAGTCCAGTGAAAAGTATTTTTTGAGTTTCTTTAATGTAAAAAAAGAACCCATGCAAAATTTGAAGTCATTTCACTCATCCAAAGTACTTCGTATCGTATCGTACATATACTTATCGTATCGTACATATACTTCGTATCGTACGATACGATAAGTACGAAAAACGTTTTATCAGCTGTTAAAAAAATGATAGACGCACTTTTATTTTATCAAGAAAAAGTTAACATAAAATAACAACACACAAATAAAAATAACAACACAAGCCAAATAAATTAATAATGTGTGGGCCCCTCCTTGCTTTGGTCCAACTTCAAAAAGACGTCTCGGCATCGAAGAGACGAGGTCATGGAGTCAAACATTGCCTATTTGAAAAGTATTCAAATTTACGCCAAACGATGAGCGATTACGCGACGCTACCTAGGCGAAACGCTTTCACCGCTTAAATGTTTCCGAATCGATTTATTTTGTTTTCAAACTCAATCCTGGAACGCACAGCGGGTTTTCGATCATTTAGAAACGTTTATTCTTCGATTTTAACTTTCAGCTTACAAAGTATCAGCTTTCAGTTTAGATTTGGCTTAAAAATCGGCTTTCTCTGCTTTGGCTTTGGCTCGGCTTTGGCTTTCTCTATATATCATTTCATTTCAAATGATTTGATGAATTGAATTGAACGAATGAAAAGCTGAATTGTTTATTGATCATCTAATTCTCAATACAGATTGACAATATATGGTTTCTGTTTTTTCTTCTCCACCTCAGCGTTTTCTTTTCGGGTTGGGAGAGTTCGCGGAGTCAAACTGGAAAGTTTGCCCATCCATTTTTGACTGAAAATTTAAAGATTAACTTGCTCAAATGTTCTTTGAGCGTTCTTTGAGCGACTTCCAAACCCACATCCTTTTAGTGCATTCAATTTTCATTTAAAGAAAACATTTGAACCTTGCCGTGTACCAGGCACCAGTGTTTCCAGCACCAGGCCAGCACCAGCACCAGCACCAGGCCAGCACCAGGCCAGAACCAGCACCAGGCCAGCACCAGCACCAGGCCGTCCACCAGTGTTTCCAGAAAGCCCACTTCTCTGCATTCCAATGAAGTGTGAAATTGAAGCGTCTTTCGATCTTTTTGTAATATCCTTCTCCTTTTAAATAAATAACAATCCAGACATATTCATTGTTCTAAAAGTATTCAGTTAATGGATAAGATTACGGTGGTCGAAAAAGAAGATACGGATTTGAAAATGGTTTTGAGAAACCCATGCTTTACTTACTTCAGCCATTTCTCGCAAACATTCTTTTGTTCTTGGCAACTGGAAGGTGATCTTTAGACGAGCCCATTGTTTAGGTGCAATGGAGAAAGCGTACTGTAAAATGAGCATTAACTGAATATCTCAAAATCTGACAGACAGACAGACCTTTACTTTACAAATCAAACATACAATACAGAGAGACCAGCAACATACAGAAAGACCAACAGACAGACTGCGCAACATACAGACAGACCAACAGACAGACAGACCTTTACTTTACAAAGGAAAGCTCGAAAAGCAAAAGTCTAGTCACAGCTGGGATTCGAACCCGGACCCCGGACCATACTGAAAGTAATCTTAAAGTACAAGGTAGTACGGCAGGCATTACTGCTCTGGCATTACGGCAACACTACAAGAGAAATGGCGTTACGTTAGGTTCGGGTAGCTAAAAAAAGAGCCCAGCAAAAGCACTTTGCTCACCTAAACGACCGTACCAAGCTCTAGATTACAGCTTTATGCAAATTTTATCTATAAATTTACCTTAGACGGACTACTTCTCGATTCTTTCCATCCTGGGTAAATATAATGTATTCCTTTATTGATCGGATCACACCAAGGAATTGAGAAATCCAAAATTGTTGAGCTGTCATTGAAGAATCGAATGTCCGCTAATTCTTGATCGAATAAAGGAACTAAATGCTTAATTGAGTAGAAAGTTTAACATCGAATGCGTCAGAAAGTTTGTGTGTTCACAGCTCAAAGTACACTTGTTTGTTTCAAATGGAAATTTTTAGTTAAATTTTGAGTTAAATTTTGATTCTAGGGCCTTAAGGTAATACGAAAAGCCATTAGTAGTAAGGTAACTTTTAGTAGTGAGTTATTAGTGGTGAGCAATTAGTAGTGAGCGACTAGTAGTGGGTCATTAGTAGTAAGCTATTAGTAGTAAGCCATTAGTAGTAAGCTATTAGTAGTAAGTCATTAGTAGTAAGCCATTACTAGTAAGTCATTAGAAGTAAGCTAATAGAAGTAAGCCATTAGAAGTAAGCTATTAGTAGTAAGCCATTAGAGATAAGTCCTTAGAAGTAAGCCATTAGTAGTAAGCCATTAGCAAGCCATTAGTAGTAAGGTTAAGAAAGAAAAGCAAGTGATTTTAACGTTTATAGTTGTTAAGTTGGGTACCGTATTCTCTCTAATATTAGTGCACCATGAGCGTTGCCTAAATTCCTCGAAATCTCTAAAAGCGCTTATCAGAACCTATCGATGTGGGGTCGGAAAATGTAGCTGACGATGAGATCTAGTGATTAGATTAGAGTGTTGAGCTTCTGATCCTTAGAGCTTAGTAAGGATCTCTAGAGCTTCATAAGGATCTCTAGAGCTTAGTAAGGATCTCTAGAGCTTCATAAGGATCTCTAGAGCTTAGTAAGGATCTCTAGAGCTTAGTAAGGATCTCTAGAGCTTAGTAAGGATCTCTAGAGCTTAGTAAGGATCTCTAGAGCTTCATAAGGATCTCTAGAGCTTCATAAGGATCTCTAGAGCTTAGTAAGGATCTCTAGAGCTTCATAAGGATCTCTAGAGCTTAGTAAGGATCTCTAGAGCTTAGTAAGGATCTCTAGAGCTTAGTAAGGATCTCTAGAGCTTCATAAGGATCTCTAGAGCTTAGTAAGGATCTCTAGAGCTTAGTAAGGATCTCTAGAGCTTAGTAAGGATCTCTAGAGCTTCATAAGGATCTCTAGAGCTTAGTAAGGATCTCTAGAGCTTAGTAAGGATCTCTAGAGCTTAGTAAGGATCTCTAGAGCTTCATAAGGATCTCTAGAGCTTAGTAAGGATCTCTAGAGCTTAGTAAGGATCTCTAGAGCTTAGTAATGATCTCTAGAGCTTCATAAGGATCTCTAGAGCTTAGTAAGGATCTCTAGAGCTTAGTAAGGATCTCTAGAGCTTCATAAGGATCTCTAGAGCTTCATAAGGATCTCTAGAGCTTAGTAAGGATCTCTAGAGCTTAGTAAGGATCTCTAGAGCTTCATAAGGATCTCTAGAGCTTCATAAGGATCTCTAGAGCTTAGTAAGGATCTCTAGAGCTTAGTAAGGATCTCTAGAGCTTCATAAGGATCTCTAGAGCTTCATAAGGATCTCTAGAGCTTCATAAGGATCTCTAGAGCTTAGTAAGGATCTCTAGAGATTAGTAAGGATCTCTAGAGTTTCATAAGGATCTCTAGAGCTTCATAAGGATCTCTAGAGCTTCATAAGGATCTCTAGAGCTTAGTAAGGATCTCTAGAGCTTAGTAAGGATCTCTAGAGCTTCATAAGGATCTCTAGAGCTTCATAAGGATCTCTAGAGCTTAGTAAGGATCTCTAGAGCTTAGTAAGGATCTCTAGAGCTTCATAAGGATCTCTAGAGCTTCATAAGGATCTCTAGAGCTTCATAAGGATCTCTAGAGCTTAGTAAGGATCTCTAGAGATTAGTAAGGATCTCTAGAGTTTCATAAGGATCTCTAGAGCTTCATAAGGATCTCTAGAGCTTCATAAGGATCTCTAGAGCTTCATAAGGTGAAGATGGTTGTTAAAGATGCTAGGATCTCTAGGTTAATAAGGACGGTTGCAAAAGATGGCTTTTTTTGTGTGATTTTCTCACCTCCTTGCACAAAATCTAGAGTTCCATTAGTTTCGATTGGTTCTTGCATTCTTTCATTCAATTGATCCCTTCCTTGGAGTAGTCGATGAGAGAAAAATGATGGAATGCATTCGTTTCTAAAGCATTATAGATAGCATTATAGATTTGTTTTTATTTGAAATCACTTTTCATCGTTCCAATCAAATCGAATACATGCATAATGCTGCTTCTTTGCTTTTTTCACACTCAACGACATCTCGATTAAACCAAAGAATTGATCGGAATTCTGGAAAAAGCTTCAATATTCAATATTCAATAATGCAAAAAGCTAGAATGTTCAAAATGATTTAAGAAAACGATGCTATTGAATGGGAAATTGAATAAAATGGGGAATTTCGAATGATTGAACTAGAGAATAGCTTTGAGAACAACCCTAGTGCCTTCTATTAGGTTGTCCGGAATGAAAATACCCTTTTAATGTAAAATAAATTTATCTCCACAAAAAGAAAAACATGCGCTTTAATCCAAAAGATATTCTCCGTTGTTGGCAATAGTCTTTCTCCATTCTTCTTTCAAATCTCGGATCCCTTTGCTGAAGAAATCCTGAGGCTGCGAGTCGAAGTATTGGCCTACCCAAATTCGGACTTCGTCGTGATCCTTGAAGTGTTTATCGGCCAAGAAGTGCTGCATAGATCGAAATAAGTGGTAGTCTAAGGGTGCCAGATCTGGACTATACGGCGGATGCGGGAGACATTCCCAGCCCAATTCCTCGAGTTTTTCCTGCGTCTTCTTTGCTGTGTGTGGGCGCGCGTTATCTTTCAGATATATCTCACAGTCGATGTGTTTAGACCTTGATTCTTGAGAGCCTGGTCTACTCGTTCCAGCTGTTGCACATATAGATCTGAGGTGACTGTTGGACGCGAAGGTAGCACCTCAAAGCGTATAAGGCCACGGGAACTCCACCAAACAGATAACATAGCCTTTCTTCCATGCGAATCACGTTGTGGCGTCGTTTTTGGCTCTTCTCCTGGACTTAACCACTGCCGTTTTCGCGATCGGTTATCGTAGTAAATCCATTTTTCATCGGACGTCATAATAGTGTCCCAAAAACCTCGATTTTTTGATTGACGAAGAAGAATACCGGCCATAGTCACTTGAGTAGATTTATTAGCGTCACGAAGTTGATGGGGGAGCCATTTTCCGACGAGATTCGCTTTACCCAAACGATGTAAATGGTTCGCAATTGTTGTGTGGCCTACAACAAACATTGTTGCAAGTTCCCGAGTCGACAAGGTTGGGTCATCTTCTATGGCTTCTCGAAGATCGTCATCGTTGAGCGCTGGAGGGGGGTGACCACGTTCTCGATCCTGTAGAGTTTCGTCTCCCTCTCTAAATCATTGAAACCATTTTTTACAAGCTTCTTCTGAATAAGCAGCTTCTCCCAAAAATTTAAAGATTGAATTATGGCTCTCCCGGACACTTTTTCCTTGTTTGAAGTCGTAGAGCAAGCACACCCGAATTCGGTACTTCTGATCTCCCATTCTAAAAAAGCCAAAATTATAAGGCAGTAAATTTTTATAAAAACATAGAATTAGAAAAGATATCTGACTTTAAAATAAAACAAAAGGGAAGCTGTTCGCTACACCGAAAAAATTTCAATCGAAGTTGAGGGTATTTTCATTCGGGACACCCTAATAGAATTGCTAAAACAAAAACATGGCTTCATCCCTTTGCAAAAACATGGCCAAACCTTTGCACTTTCCCGTAGATTCTTTCTCGATTCCTCTGAACTGTAATCGATCTCAAGAAGAGCACCCTTTTGTTCTTCATTCATTTGCTAAAAGCTTTTACAATAGGCTTTACAATTTACTAAAAGCTTTCTCACTTGTTCCACTCGAAAAATCACTCCCGGTAGTTCCCATTTATCTATTGTTAACTCTAAATCAGAACGATTCGGCGTCAAGTGAAGAGAAAGACAATTGTTAGAGACTTCAGGCCCTGGAAGGATGTTGGAGTTGATAAGAAAAGCTCTTAATTTGTTTTGGAAAACGATTGTTACAGATTTCCGACCCTAGGAAAGCCTTGAAGTTGATAAAAAGCAACTGGAAGGTGATCTTTAGTCCATTGTTTAGCCCATTGTTCTGATTCTGTTCTTGTTCTGTTCTTGTTCTGTTCTTCTTCTGTTCTCCTTCTTTGAGATCTTTTTGTGTCAATAACTTGAAATTCCTTACATTCAACCGTCAATAGCTCGGCGTTGAAAAATTTAGAGAAATCGAAGGGATGAGGAAGATTTTTGAAAAGACCGTTAACTGAAAGCTTTCAATTTCTTTATAATTTGATTATAAAGATTTGATTGTAAAGATTTGATTGTAAAGATTTGATTCTAAAGATTTGATTGTAAAGATTTGATTGTAAAGATTTGATTGTAAAGATTTGATTGTAAAGATTTGATTCTAAAGATTTGATTATAAAGATTTGATTGTAAAGATTTGATTCTAAAGATTTGATTATAAAGATTTGATTGTAAAGATTTGATTCTAAAGATTTGATTGTAAAGATTTGATTGTAAAGATTTGATTGTAAAGATTTGATTGTAAAGATTTGATTATAAAATGATACTGTAAATACAGTCGATTCTTTCTATAACGGAATGGAAGGAACCAAAATATATAGAGCTTCCGTTATTTAGAGCTTTCCGTTATATAGAGATTTCGGTTATATAGAGCTTTCCGTTATACAGTAGGGTCCAAAAGTTTGGAACAACCACCTTCCGGTAACTTCAACTCGATGTAACTAGCGTTAAATACATCCGTTAAATACATGAGATCTTAGTTCATTCCTCCTCTTAGTTCTTAGTTCTTAGTTCATTCTAACTAGGGGAAGTGCACGGATTGACCTTTTTTTAAAGGTCACGAATTGACCACGGTTTTTTCGAATTTCCGCCGCACCATTTGCGCCCAGCTTTTAATGCTCAATTATACGCTCTCAAAAAGTCCCTAGGCTATAGCCTTTTAGCCTTATAGCCACTAGGCTATAGTGACACTAACCATTAGGCTATAGCCTAGTGGTTAGTGTGGGCGTCGGTTTGTGATTATCGGTGGGCCCAAGGGATTATCGGCGGCCCAATTTTTCGTAAGTGAGAAATATTTGTGTAAATGCTATGTTGGTTTACAAGGCCTAAATGTTATCGGATAAATGTGTGAGAAACTTCAGAAGTGGTAGGCCGCCAATAATCTTGGGCCGCCGTTAATCTCCTTGAAAAAATGGGGCCACCGATAGTCCTTCGGGGTCTCCGCTATTAGGAAAGATCCGCGCTTCCGTTATAGAGAGCTTTCTGTTATAGAGAGCTTTCTGTTATATAGAGCTTTCGTTATATAGAGCTTTCCGTTATATAGAGCTTTCTGTTATATAGAGCTTCCGTTATAGAGCTTCCATTATATAGAGCGTTCTATAGAGCTCTGTAGTAGTTTTTAGGATTTCAACGAATTTTGAGGAGTCAGATAACCGAAAGAAGCAAAACTCACCAATTCCACTCGCTTTCTTCTTCTCATTTTTGGATTTCTTCTCGTTTTTATTCTCCTTTTTATTCTCCTTTTTATTCACATTCTCATCCAGAGAACCATTTATACGATTTTTGATCTGAAATTGGCTAATAACAGACTTTTATCTAACAGAAAATGAAGAAGTTAGGTAAATTATAGCTGTCTGTTAGCTTTATGGCTAGTATGCTATAGCCTGGCCTTATGGCTAGTAGGCTATAGCCTGGCCTTATGGCTAGTATGCTATAGCCTGGCCTTATGGCTAGTAGGCTATAGCCCGGCCTTATGGCTAGTAGGCTATAGCCTGGCCTTATGGCTAGTAGGCTATAGCCTGGCCTTATGGCTAGTAGGCTATAGCCTGGCCTTATGGCTAGTAGGCTATAGCCTGGCCTTATGGCTAGTAGGCCATAGCTTTATAGCCACTAGGCTATTTGTATATTTGTATAAAGTATATTTGCTCATAGAAATTATAAAACAATGATACAATGTCTATAAGGATTTTGCCAGAGGCGAATCGGGTTCAATTTTTGTATGTCAAATATCTCGTATTACAGAGCTCCACTGGAAAAACTAAAAGCGGATTCGGAATCAGCGTAAAAAGTTCTACCAGGTACAATAGATTTTAAATTAAAGGCCACTTTTGAAAGGCAGTTTTGGAAGGCGCTTTTGAAAGACAATTTTGAAAGACAATTTTTGAAAGGTCACTTTTGAAAGACCTGGTGCTTTTCCCTTGTGAGTGCCCCCATTGACAGAGGGATTTTACGTTTTTCTTGACGCACAATTCACCAATTGAGCTATTTTTGGTTTCATTCGATGCGTCTAACCCTCCTCTATCCAATAAAACAAACAACAACAAAATTGGTAAATTGTTCATTAAGAAAAACGCAAAATGCCTCTGGTAGAATATAGACATTGCATCATTATTTTATGATTATAAAAATACCAAAATCTTTACAAATTTTACAAGAAAACATTGAATTTCTAAAAGCGGAAAAGCTCATTTTCCCGGTTTTATCAATTTTCATCTCAAATTTGATCAAATTCTCAAATCAAATCAAATCAAATCAAAAATTTAAATAAGAAACGCACCTGTTGATCAATATTTATAGAATCTTCAGCAATTTCTTCGAGAAATGAGTACGAATTTGAGGTGTTGATTGAAAAATTGGGCATTTTCGAGAAATAAATCGGGTGAATTGAATTCACCAACAAATTTCTATTCTTTTTCGAAAATTTTCTTGACTAGAGAAAAATGACTAGTCATCACGAGTTCTTTTCCGCATTTTATGGCTTTCTTTCTTATCAATTTTGCTTTCTTTTGCGTTTTCCACATGAAAATGTTTTGGAACACTTGATTGTTGAGTAAGTGACCTGGAAATGAAAGCAAGTCAACCGGAAATGAAAGCATCTAAAGCCATTCAAGTAGCCTGGAATCGGCTTCAGCCAACAGGTTACTTTCAGTACTTTAAGATTCAGCTAATTCATTTGAAAAGATCCCTTACCGTAATCCCGTTGATTTTTCGATTTTAAGCTATTAGTTTCGATTACCGTACCCTTTGTGTCTGTCTGTCTGTCTGTTTGTTTGTCTGTCTGTTTGTCTGTTTGTCTGTCTGTCTGTCTGTCTGTCTGTCTGTCTGTCTGTCTGTCTGTCTGTCTGTCTGTCTGCCTGTCTGTCTGTCTGTCTGTCTGTCTGTCTGTCTGCCTGCCTGCCTGTCTGTCTGTCTGTCTGTCTGTCTGTCTGTCTGTCTGTCTGTCCGCCTGCCTGTCTGTCTGTCCGCCTGCCTGTCTGTCTGTCTGTCTGTCTGTCTGTCTGTCTGTCTGTCTGTCTGTCTGGCCTGGTGCTGGAAACACTCTTCCTGGTGCACGGCAAGGTTCAAATGTTTCTTTAAATGAAAATTGAATGCACTAAAAGGATGTGGGTTTGGAAGTCGCTCAAAGAACGCTCAAAGAACGCTCAAAGAACATTTGAGCAAGTTAAGTCTTTAATTTTCAGTCAAAAATGGATGGGCAAACTTTCCCGTTTCACTCCGCGAACTCTCCCAACCCCAAAAGAAAGCGATGAGGTGGAGAAGAAAAAACAGAAACCATATATTGTCAATCTGTATTGAGAATTAGATGATCAATAAAAAATTCAGCTTTTCATTCGTTCAATTCAATTCATCAAATCATTTGAAATGAAATGATATATAGAGAAAGCCAAAGCCAAAGCAGAGAAAGCCGATTTTTAAGCCAAATCTAAACTAAAAGCTGATAGTTTATAAGCTGAAAGTTAAAATGAAAGAATAAACGTTTCTATATGATCGAAAACCCGCTGTGTGTTCCAGGATTGAGTTTTAAAAGAAAATAAAATCTATTCGGAAACGTTTAAGCGGTGAAAGTGTTTCGCCTAGGTAGCGTCGCGTAATCGCTCGTCGTTTGGCGTAAATTTGAACACTTTTCAAATACGCAATTTTTGATGTGCGTTCCAGTTTTGGGATTCCAATAATCGGCGGGAGCATCCACGTTTTAGAAAACGGATTAATGGAGTGGGAAAGATTTCAAGACATTTAACAGCTCTCATCGTTCTGCCGCTTCTCATCGATCGATAGATTGTGTCAAAAAAAGGGAAAGGAAATCACTGAACGCATTAAAAGTCCGTTTTCCTTTATTTTACAAAGATTTACGATAGTTTTTGGTAGTATTGAGCTGACGCTGAGCATCGCATTTCTTTTTCTTTTCGTCTATAGACGTCTCACGTACTTTTTTCGTCTTTTTTCTTTCTTTTTCTGTCTAATTTTCAAAGCCAAAGACAGTTTTTTTCAAAATCCATTTTTTTCTTCAATTTTCATCATTTTTTGATAAAATTTTCTTTAATTTACATAATTTTGCTTTAAAATTATGTCATTTTTATTTAAAATCATCTTATTTTATTTAAAATCTTGTTATTTTATTTAAAATCTTGTTATTTTGATTTTAAATCATCTTATTTTATAATAATACTTTATTCAAACGATAAAGTGAAAGAAATCATAGAGAAATGCACAGTGATACTTAATCATACAATACATACTGAAATCAATAAGCCAATTACTTACGGCAAAGAGCCACTAGATCTAAAGCATCGATACGTTTCTTGAATATGAAAAGCGACTGAATTTCTCGTATGTCGTTTGGGAGCAAGTTCCATAATCTAGCGGCTCTAACGGGGAAATGAATTTGATAAAGAGGCATTGGAAGCATTTTAATTAAAATCATGTCATTTTTATTTAAAATTATGTTATTTTAATTAAAATTATGTTATTTTGCTTTAAAATTA